GATTACTGAGATGCATCAGGACAATAATAATAATAATTTTTTAGTTTTATAATGTCACCTCCACTGACCGTAAAGGTTCCCGAAAAGGCCTTGAAAAAGGCCCACGGACCACCAGTTGATAATCACAGTTGTAGCTTGTTTTGCGGCTCCGAACACATTTTATTAGTGAGACAAGGAGCACAAATGGCTCTTTTGATCGTAAAGGTTGCAGACCTCTGCTCTAGTGGTCACTTTGTTGCATGACTCAAAAATTCTCCAAATGTTGATGGTTACATGCTGATTTGATCGTGTCTGGGAGTTTGCAGTTTTTACATGCGCTCTGTTTCCCTGTTTTTATCTCTAACAGGTGAAGTGGAAGCAGAGCTGCTCCACACTTACAGCCGTATCGACCCGTATGACACTTTAATCCTGTGTGTGCGCGTGGCCGTACTCACTGCGGTCACACTTACAGTACCAATCGTGCTCTTTCCTGTAAGTAGCTTAGTGCATTGGTTCATCATTTAATGTCTCTGTGCATCTAAACATAAAGGTTTGTTTTATTCTAATCAGGTGAGGAGAGCCATCCAGCAGATGGCCTTCCCCAACAAAACCTTCTACTGGCCTCGCCACATCGCTATCGCCATCACGCTGCTCACGTTCATCAACCTGCTGGTCATCTTCGCCCCTAACATCCTGGGCATCTTTGGTGTTATTGGTAAGTTGAACCAAAGATGTGATACAGGGGAAATAATTAGTAGCCAATGATAACATTTACTTTAATGCTGATGTAATGGGAGTATTTTTTTTTGTCTCACATTGAGACTTTTTTTTTACATTTTTTATAATGTTGGTGTTCACCTTTAGCAAAACAAAGATATGAACAATTTTTTTTCACATTTGGGCTCTTCTAATTTTCTGTTTATTTAACGCTGAGACATTATACTATCAAAAGTTAACAGAGCTGTTTTATGAATAATGTTGCCTTTTTTTATGTTCTTTCCAGGTGCCACATCTGCACCCTGTCTCATCTTCATCTTCCCCGCTGTCTTCTATATCCGTATTGTTCCCAAAGAGGAGGAGCCGCTGTGCTCAGTTCCAAAAATTTTGGTGAGCTTCGTTTGAGAATTCTGTTCAGGTTTTTCACTTCATCCTATTTGAGGATATGTGTGCAGAGCTTATATTAGCTCTCTGGTAAATATAGCATGACTTGTTGAATGAAAGGTGAAGAGCAGCTGGTTTGGACTCTGGTCTGGACTAGTGACCAGATCAGGGTCCAGTCTGCTGGAAATAAGCTCCTCACAATGGGATTACACAAAACAAGAAAAGGGGTGGAAAAATAATAGCTCATTAAAATTTTTATTGGTAATTCTACAAAAAAAAAAGTTTTTTTTCTTTTCTTTAACACTGTTTCTGTTTCAGGCTGCCTGCTTTGCTGGGATCGGCTTCCTGTTTATGATAATGAGTCTCAGCTTTATCATCATCGACTGGACATCAGGCAGCAGTAAAGCCAGCAGTGGTCATTAGACCCTTCTTCTTTTTTTTTTGTTTTGTTTTTCCTGTTTTTATATTGTTGATGTGGGATCATGTTGTAATGTTTCTGTTTGTGCGCTTGTTGATCTTTCTTTCTTTCTTTCTTTCTTTCTTTCTTTCTTTCTTTCTTTCTTTCTTTCTTTCTTTCTTTCTTTCTTTCTTTCTTTCTTTCTTTC